AGCTAATCTCTCTCTCTCTCAAGTAATAAACTGTGTTTTAAAGGCTCCAAGTGACAGTTTACCACCACTGGGTAATTTGTTCCAGCAAACAATTACTCTTACTATTAAAAAATTGGTCCTTGTTTCTAGTCTAAAATTTCATGGAGAAACCACCAGTGACCTGGCAGCACAACACATCCTAGCTATCAGCTTCTCTTATCCACGGGATTAGGACTCCTCACAATAGTGAAGCCTGAATATTTAGATTACTGATAGGATTTTCATATATTCAGCACAAAACTGCTGAGGGAATCACAAGCTTTGCAGGAAGCAGCTAATAGATTCAGTAGATTTAATAGGGTCATGTTGACCATGTCAGTCATTTTGCAGTACAATGCTACAGCTCTGTCCAGTATCACGGATAATAAATTTAGGCACGGTGCAAATTTACTTTAAATTAAATCAGATCTTTATCAAAGAGGCTAGAATTGGTGTTAAAAATTGCTCATTTCCCCCACCCCCTGTAATCTCTGTTCTTCCACCATCATTGCTACTCTGCTTGGAAAGCAATACAAGCAGCCACTGTCGCATCCTTGCTGTTCCAGCTCACACAGCTATCCGCACTAGTCTTTGTTTTAATGGCTTAAAGCAAAGAAAGGGGATTTGTACACAGGGAAGCAAGTGGAATCACCATCTCTGTCAAAGCATTCCCTTTGTAGGTCTGCCATCTGAAGTAAAACAAAAAAGAAAAAAACAAACCCAAAACTGAACTGAGGTTTTTCTTACAGCTACTGATGTTAAAATCTAACCCCAACTGATTTATAAAGGTAACAGAGCATGGTGGTGGCAGCGCGTGAATGCTGTCTTAAAGCCACCAGGATCAGCAGCACAAGTATTACAATGGGTTACTCAAAAAGCCGTATTTTTATAGCAAAACATCAAAAACTTTTCTTGTTAATCTCGATGGTTCATCATCAGTTAAGGTTAAGCTAAGACCGCAGAGCTATTGAGAGTAACAGTGCCTCCTGCCCGGCACCTGCCCTCACAGCAAATGCACCCCTGCCGAGTCCAGCATCCCTCCTTCCCAAATCAGCACCCAGATGTGAGCCAGCTGTGCCACCACTGTGTGACCAGGAGCCACCGCTGCCCTGCCTGCTGCCCAGCACGCAATTACCTAAAAGGGATGGTTCACAGAGAGGTTTCTGCTTCAGGTCATCTGTGAACTGTCTTCTCTGCTGTGTATGACAGGCAGCGTTGCGGTTAATGATGGTGATTTAATGAGTGAAAAATGAGTGTTTGGCATACCTTCCTCTGGACAGGCAGCGGCAAAGGCAGTTGTATGTCAGCGTGCCACTGCTGAGTGGTGCTTCGTGGGGAGGCACGAGATTTAGTGCACAGATTCAGTTCATCACATGCTTCGTTTCTGCCTTGACACCTAGCCTAATTACATATCTACAAAGCATAACCATCCATATCCCTCTATTAATGTGATACAAGGGCTGCAAACAAATCCCAGATATAATAGCGCTGATTCAAGACCAGGAAGGTTAAGCAGCGAAGTATGACACACATGAATTTCAGCGGTGTTTTCCTATCTGAGGTCTGGTGGGTGAGGAAGCAGGACTACACACTGGTTTGCTGCAGGAAGCAGTCTCCCACGGCGAGCTCATGGCTCACCAAAGCACGGGGGCTGCATGGTATCAGCCAGGGTTCAGCAAGAACCCAAAGCAGAATGAAGATGCCTGCCCTCCCCGCCTCCTGCGCAGCGTGCCATGCCATGCTGCTCCCTCCCTGACACCCTCCAGCCACAGCAGCCCAGCGCTCCTGCACTCATCCTGGTACAAAGAGGAATTAAAATGTGCAACCACTACCAGGTGCAGAGTGCTGCCAGACAGTCACCGCCCTACACTGCAGCATACATGGGTCCTTTGCACCCAGGAAGAGAATGACACCCAGCCGAGGGTGCTCTGTCCCACTCCTCCCACCGCCCTCTCCTGAAGAACCTCTGCAGCTAGCCTGAAGAGCTGCACACGTCTGTTGATAATGCATCACCTTGGATGTGCCTTTTTTTTTTTTTTTTTTTTGTGTGTGTCCACTTCTCAGGGCTCACTGCTAACCCAGCCCCACGGTAGCACATCTGAGTGACAGTACACGCACAGTAATGCTACAGCCACACGTCTGTACTCACCTCCTTCGCCTCATGGCCTTACTGACAGAGCACGAAGGCTATCTTTCAGTGAAAAGGCAGCAACGTGCTAACATCCAGCAAAAATTAACGCGATAATTTCTTCAGGCAGAAGGGTGAGCTGTCTGTTTGCACCGTGCCACACACATGGCTGCAAATCCGGGGTGCCTCAGCCTCGCCTGCAACTCCAGGGCTTGCCATCCTCCAAGCCCACAGCACAAGGAAGTCACGCAGCGCACATGTACATCAAGTAAAATTAGCTTATTTGTTGTTCTTAATACACTAGGAAGGCTTCCACAAGATGTCAGCCTAACTAAATGACAACGCTAGCCTCAGGGTGCAATTCTACTTTTCCAGCCCCTGCTGTTTAGCAGGAAAACCAGTTCGGCTGCTGCTTGAGGAGCGGGGTAAGGGAGAAGCCCCCCAAAGGGTTATTCGGTCCTAGCAAGCTTATTCCTGAGGGGGACGTGCCATTTTCTCTCTCCGTGTTGCACATGACGGTTCGGGCAGTTCCTCTGAAGCACCTGTTCTGGCAGAAGTCCCCAGATGGCACTCATACATGGTTTTCCTCAGCAGGCAAGCGAGTTTTCAGTCTCAGGAGAAACGCAACTGTGTGAGTTTTGTGGGCAGCTGAGGTTTATTCCCAGCCTATTATACCTCAACACCCCAGGCAGCTCCCAAGGAACGATGTGAATATTACTGCAGAGTTCCAGACTCAAGAGAATCAGATGCACGCTTTCGGTAATAGCTGTTATTTCACAACAAGTGCACATAAAAACACGTTTCGCTAAGAAAAGCGCCCATAAAGTTCGCGTTAACAGTTTCCCAAACAGGAAACTTGCTGGCAAGGTGCTAAATAGCCCTTGTTTGGTTATGGGCCAAAGAATGGAGAGCTTTAGAAAGGAAGCAACTTACGGTGTTTGAACATTAACTCTTAACTCTGTGCCAAATTACACAGTCTTAATGTGGGAGGAACCTACCAACAGATACTGAGGCAAAAAAGCAAAACGTTTCCAAAAGATACCTAATTTCAGCCTTCTGGTAATAGCAAAAAGAGGTAGCACAGGAGACGAGGAACATTTGACCTCATTGCCATTGTCATTTTATTAATTATGCCCTTTGGAATGTTGTTTTTAAATGTTATGTTATCACATTTAAATGTTATTAAAATTCAAATCAACACTTCAAATCAGGATTTTGCACCAGATGAGCCGCTACAGGAAGCACGACCACAGGTCCTTTGGTGCAGTAGTTCCATCAGACAGCTGCCAAAGGCTAGATTTCAGCTTCTCTACTTTTCACACAGTGAACATTTAACATGAAGAAACTCTTTAAATAGATTTATGTAATTTCTTCACATGTGTTTCTTTCACCCTAAAGCAAATGTGAAAATATTTACTATGGCAGAGGAATTTAAGAAGTTTATCTACCATTTCCTAATTTGTTTTATCATTAAAGATAGTTACTTTCCTGATGGGTTGGGGGTGAGGCTTTTTTTGTTTGCTTTGTTTTTTTTTTTCTTGGGTGAGTTTGAGGTTTCCTTTTTGTTTCACTTGTTCTTAAAGAGTTCACCTTCTCCATCCCTTTACTTTCCATTTTGCACTCCAGTCCGCTCTGAACAGGACAGCCTACCACAGAAAGGAGGTACTTGAGTATTACACACTTATGTCACGGGACAGCAACGGGAGAAGCAGGCAGAAAACAGCAAGTCTTAATTTAAGTAAGCACCTCTAAGGAACCAAAGCTCAATAAAAAAGGTAAATGGCATTTTATTTAAAAATCTTCTTTTGACACAATTCATCATCTTCCTCCAGCCGCAATGGAAGTTTGTTATTCTCAGCTCATCGCATATCTTGAGGTCATAAGTGATACCTCGCTGCTACAGAGCAAACATTTTCAAGTGCCTTCTACTACATTTCTGCTTTATATCTCAAGCTGAAAATAAAAAAGCTTATCCAAGTTGCTCGGAGCTGGAAGCTAGCACCCCCCTGCCTCATCCACGCCACACCAAGGCCAGAGCAGCTGCTCCAAAGGCTTTCCTCCACATACGTACAAAAATCTTAAAACCCTAAAAAAATTTACAGCAAATCTGCTCGTTTACCTTTCAGCACCAGCTGTCCTGGAGAAGAGTCTGCTCCAGATAAAAGGGCAATGAACTTTTAACGCGAGCAGCCACGATGGCACATCTGCCTCCTCCGTGCTGTGCGTGCAGGCTCCAGCCAGAGACCGGCCCTGCTCCGACAGCACGGGCAGCTTTGCAGGGTCACTGTTTCTGCACACACACATTTCTGCAACTCTAACACACATGGGGTAACTGTTACGGACCTACCCCGCAGCAAGATGCTAATAGAAGTACCGTCCCCCTTTTACAGGGGGGTAAGGACCCCAGGATGTAACCAGTGACCACAAGAAAGCCCTCAGAGTGCTCTGAGCCCCGACGGTAAGTGCCAACCTCACTATTTCCTCTCCTGCACTCCAAACCCCAGGAAAAAAGCAAATACAAAAGCCACCGTTTTGGGGGAAAAAATAGATTTTCTAGTTTCATAACTGCATGCTGTCAAGCTGGATTCCAATTAAATTTTTCCTGTGCCCTAACGCAAGCTCTGCTTTTTCCAGAAATTTCTCATCACTTGAAACGTTCGCTCCTGTCCTCTCCTCCCGGGCTGTGTGCTGCACTTTCTGACACACCACCTTCATCTAACGGTCTCTTCTCTCCCTTTGCCACTTTTGCAGGGACCACAGTCGCGCACAGTTGTTAGGCATAGCTCTAAGCTGCCAAATGCCTCTCACCTCCGCAAAAAGCTGGAGCTAACCAGCACCCTCTATTCAAACCGTGCATACTTTGCATCTAAAAGTTCCTTTTATGCAGCAATATTTAACAGAAAACCAGCAGCAGCTAGCACTAAGGCACTTCCAACCGCAGCTCTGCGCTGCTTTTAACGCCAGCTGAATACAGCCAGCACAGATGCAGGAGTGGGGGGTGCGGGGTGGCACAAGTCTTTCCTATTCCTTGTATCGTGGGGACGAAGGACTTCTACCGTTGATTCCTCCCCCCCCTCCTCCTCCCCTCCACCCCCAGCAGTGGTCTTTAACACGATCACAGTATGCACCACAATGCTTTAAAACAGCAAAGCTTCTGGAAAACCCAAACAAAAGGAACGTCACTAGGTGACGTCAGCCTATATACAGCCCTGTGTGGTCGCAGCGCATAAGCAAATCCATTCTTGTACCGCTTCCCTGAAAAGCTTTTCAGTAAATGCACTCATGCTACTACAGGAGCTTCTCTCAGCAATAAGCCACCCATCTGCCATCAACAAGTTAGGACTAAAGGAAGCCACAGCTGCGGAAAAAGAAAACGTGAGCTTCAATTAAACAGCTGAGCAGCCACAGAGGACGAAAACTTGTATTAAGCATTGATTTAAAAATTGCAGACCTGTCAGAGGAGATCAAGCCAGTGATTTCAAAAGGAATATTCCAAGAGAGCATCGTGGATTCAGTTTTGCACTAATATCAAAGGACACTAAACCCAGTAAATTATTCAAAGGCTATCTTACATTAGAGCCTTTTACAGACTCACCGCGTTGAGTCTAAAACTACGACTGAATGCAACCTCCAATGTACTCAAAAGAATGGGTAAGTTCCTGCGTTTCTATATACCTTGTATAATGAATGACCGGCTATGCTTTAAAGGAGCAGTTAGGTGCTAAAGCAAATTTTTTTCTGCACTGAACCTTATGAAAAAAGTGTTTTCCGATTGTGACACTGTAATCCTCCGTAATAGAGATAAAGACTCATCCTAAGTGTAATATCCACGTATTCTGTGTTTCGTAGTAAGTTGTTTCTTGCATTTAGAATTAGCTTGTCGGAAATGCATGGCAATGTTATCTGCAGTGAAATCTTCCATCGTGATGTTCAAAGTGTACTGATAAGGCTATCCTATCTTGTTGTTTTCCTAAATTATATTCTGCAGGCTTACATTTCAAGTGGCCATTAGGGGCTCGTATGCTGGCAGCACTATATGCAATGAGTATGGTTTTAAAAATGCTGCCTGCCTTGGGCATGGCTTGTCCACCAAAATGTCGCTGTGAGAAGCTGCTCTTTTACTGTGACTCTCAGGGGTTTCACTCAGTGCCAAACACCACTGAAAAGGGCTCGCTAGGTTTGTCACTGAGGCACAATTATATTTCTGAACTTGAAAGGGATCAATTTGCAAGCTTCAGTCAACTTACTTGGCTTCACTTAGATCATAATCAAATTGCAACAGTCAGAGAAGATTCTTTTCAAGGACTGTATAAACTTAAGGAATTAGTCTTAAGTTCCAACAAAATCTTTCATTTGCCAAACACAACTTTTAGCCAGCTGCTTAACCTGCAGAATTTGGACCTCTCTTTTAATCAGTTATCCTCTCTGCACCCCGAGCTCTTCTACGGCCTTCGCAAGCTACAGACCTTGCACTTGCGATCCAACTCCCTGCGGACCATCCCGGTCCGCCTGTTCTGGGACTGTCGTAGCCTGGAGTTCCTGGATTTGAGCACAAACCGCTTGCGAAGTTTGGCTCGCAATGGATTTGCAGGATTAATCAAGCTGAGGGAGCTTCACCTAGAGCACAACCAGCTGACAAAGATTAATTTTGCTCACTTCCTCCGGCTGAGCAGCCTGCACACGCTCTTCTTGCAGTGGAACAAAATTAGCAACTTGACATGTGGGATGGAGTGGACCTGGGGCACCTTAGAAAAGCTCGATTTGACTGGAAACGACATCAAAGCCATCGACCTAACTGTCTTTGAAACTATGCCTAACCTTAAAACCCTCCTAATGGATAACAACAAGCTCACCACTCTGGATTCCAAGATCCTAAATTCGCTGACATCCCTCACCACCGTGGGCCTCTCCGGCAATCTGTGGGAATGCAGCCCAAAGATCTGCGCCTTGGCCACATGGTTGAGTGGCTTCCAAGGTCGGTGGGAGCACTCCATCCTCTGCCACAGCCCCGACCACACCCAGGGAGAGGATATTCTGGATGCAGTGTATGGTTTTCAGCTTTGCTGGAATTTATCAACTGTTGTTACACCCGTGGCGACAACGGACGCAGCTCCGACTACCGAGTACACGAAAAGAATGAGCTCTTCTCATTTCCATATGGGAGACAAAGAGATTCCAACTACGGCAGGCATGGTCGTTACCACCGAAGAACATTTCCCCGAGCCAAACAATGCCATCTTCACTCAGAGGGTAATTACAGGAACAATGGCTTTATTGTTTTCTTTCTTTTTTATCATTTTTATAGTGTTCATCTCCAGGAAGTGCTGCCCTCCCACATTAAGAAGAATTAGGCAGTGCTCAATGATTCAAAACCACAGGCAGCTCCGATCCCAAACACGGCTGCATATGGCAAATATGTCAGACCAAGGACCCTATAACGAATACGAACCCACCCACGAAGGACCCTTCATCATCATTAATGGCTACGGACAGTGCAAGTGTCAGCAGCTGCCGTATAAAGAATGTGAAGTATAATACCTACATGCCATCAAAAATTAAATCAGATAAGTAACCTATTTTAAAATTGTAGGGGACCTACATCAGATTCTAATTTTTACAAATGTTGACATAAAGCCTAATTTTCCAAGCTACTTAATGGAAACATTGTTTATGGAGTGGTGCAGTATTTTTAAGTTTTTTAAAAAATAAATCCATAATATTTTCAGTGTTAAAGAAGCAATGATCAAACTTGCACTCCTAATGTTTAAAAGTCTAAAAAGATGCTCACCTCAAACTATGTAAAATGTTTCATGTTATGTAATTATATGACTGTGTGTAAACATTTATATCCAAGTCTCCATATTCTACTTTTTCTAATGAAAACAGTCCGAGGGGAAGGATACTGGATATCTGTACAGAGATCTGTGGGGGGACGTACGCTCCATTTGTTCCACTGCAGCTGTAGGATCCCAAACACTCCAGCTGGCTCTGTTCACTTTAAAGGCAGCCGTGGAGGAAGATTTTCCTCCTCTGATAATTTCACTCCAGTAAAGAAAAGGGGAGGGGAAACAACAAAAAAAAAAAAAAAAAAAAAACAGAAAAAAAAAACCAAAACAAACCAAAACAAAAAAAGGGCAACAAAGGTCCAGGCGGGGATTTCAGTGCATTAGGGACCAGTGAATTTATTTTAAATAGTTTCCCCATCTGCATATTCAGTTTGGCTTGCCTAAACGGACCTTGCTAAAGCTCACAACAGACACAGAAAGGAGCAGTTCACACGATCACAAATTAGCAGGACGACTCTCCAGGCGCTTACAAAGTAGGCAGTGTAGCTTATTTAGGAAGGCTCAGTACGACGGGATCGATTCTAAATATTAAGTGCATTCAATTATTATCGGCTCTCTGGTTTGACTCGATGCTTTTCATGAATTCAGGCTAATTACTACTATGAACAAACAGCATTTCAACACCTTTTCATGTGTAAATACCCTTAATGCAAGTTTTTCTTAATTAAAAGTAAATATCAATTGCGAGGTTAAGGAGAAGAAGGAAGGAAGGAAGAAGCCTCTCTTTGTCCCCCCGCTGCCCCCCCAGCTGAGGCTTCCTCTCGCCTGGAAGCTATTTTCATGCACTAACTCCACTGGTTTCTCTGGAGACAGAATTAGCCCCTGCAATATAAGCTCTCACTTGTCCTCCTCTTCCAAAATTCAAGGTAATTACCAGTAAAGAATAAACAAACCACAACAAACATACCTTCTGATAAGTTAGGATAATATAATTAGTTTATAGAATAGTTCACTGAAAAAACATTTTGTTTCTTACTTGATATGGGACAGAATCTAAACTAGTATGCCATTTAAAAAAATCATATATAAATATATATACATACACGCACCTCATTCTTAAGGAGTAATTTGATTTCTTTAGCCAGAAGTACCATATTGCTATTTATACTATATTATGAAATTATATGTAAATATTTGCAGATCTATGCAGCGATGGTGGTACTCAGATGCCACAGGGACAGGGGGGGTGGGGGGTCTGCAAAGGATTACATTATTTTTAAGTCAACTGCTCATATATTGTAAACATTCTAACCAAAGCTAAAAGGACCAGAGGGATGGAATTTTTTTAATATATATATACATGTATGTATAACAAAAAAAAAAAAAAGTGTGTTGTGTCCAATGCTGCAGTGTTAAACAATTACCAGCACATACCGATGAAGAAAAGAAATTCCTCACAGTGTTGACATACCTTGAACAAATCAGTAATTACAGTATGCTAATTGTGTTGTACTAAACTATTCTGCAAACTTTTTAAACTGAAAAATCACTGCATAAAAATCTGTTTGCTATTTCACTCTGCTTTTATATATCTGTATTACCACTTAGTGAGGTATTTAGGGTGCAATTATACAACAGTTTGATGTTTTATTGTGAAATGAATTCGTCCAAGGCAATTATAGCAAGATAAGTGTGACTTCTGTTAAGATTTTACATAAAGATTTTTCAATTACTGGTTTTGAAGATATTAATTTGCATCATTTTACTTTTACATACAGTGCCCTTATAAAACAAATATTTTGTTTACTTCTTGTGACTCTGTACTTTAATGGAAGAGATGTGGTGAAGCCTAATGGTTTTCCATAGATTCCTTTGAACCCTCGTAACTGTTCATACTATGATGAGCTGATTTACACCTATTCTAGGAAATCAATTACTGCTTTTAACTGAATACAATAAATCCTGCAGGGCAGGTGGACAAAGAGCAAATATTCTCTATGACTAAATCCCACGTGAGCCAGAAGGCCAGACCTAAGCTGATAAATACAAAAACGTATTGGTATTTAAGGGGTTTTGGCTGCTTGTAGAAAGATTTGCTTCATTCCTTACCAGGAGTAAGTGCTCCCAGCTCTCCCCTCACACCCAGGCGTGGGTGTATCACTGTCTCAGCAGCAGCCTGCCCCTGCCCGTGCACCTCCCTCACCTCACGTTAACTAACATGATGGTCTGCACCAGGGGGAACTGGAAAGCAGACATTTTTGAGATGAGTTTCATGTACAGCTGTAGGGTACGAGCAGAGTTATAACTAAACTCATTAATTACCCTGGCAGCCAAATAATCTGGCTACACTATCACCAACCAATACTGAACTCTGGTGTCCTCAGCTGCATTTGCAAGAGGAATTCCACCTTTCTCCTCAACACCCAGCAGAAATCTTTGCTGTAAGACAGTTCAGAAGGAACCCCGTCAGTCTTCCACATAGTAACGAGGAGTGGACACTTGACTGAATCGCTGAGGTTCCTCCCAAGCAGGTGCTTTCCCAACACACCAGCTCTGTGTAGAGACCCACTCCATCTTTATTAGCTTACTTATGCCCAAGAAGAGTAAAGTCAGGGGGTGTTCCAGCAATGCTGGATTTAATCCTCTTCTCCATTCCTGCTACTCCTACTGATTTTCCAAGCATTAAAGCACTGTTCCATCATCTCTCAAAGGAAACACACCCAAGCACCCAGTCTCTCCCCAAAACCAGCATCCCCAGTTTCCACTGGTCCTGCAGTGCTGCCTTGGCTTGCAGACAGCAAAGCAGGAGGCCAGCAGACACAGCCTAACATGGCAACGTTCAATTTTACTTTGACTCTCTGTACTACACACTAATATGCAGCCAATCTCCCAAATGCCATGGTTTATGTCTGCCATTTCCAAAACCATTTGTTGCCAGGTTCCAAGCGTAAGCAAAGCAATTCTGCAAACATTACATTTAGGGTAACAGGTATCATAAAACTCGCAGAATGTCAAACACTAGCAGTGAAGTCAACTTGAATTCCCTTAGGAGGGACAGCAACGACAGGCAAAGCCATTACTCTCCACAAGGACAGGACTAGAGGCTGTTAATTTTCGAGGGGGTTTTTTTGTTTTATTTTTTAAAAAGTTACTGTTTTCCATTCTCAATTGCTTGTGACTCTTCCAGGCAAGGAGGGTATTGTAATAATTGCATTACTCAGCAGACTGATTTATTTTGTTTATGGAACAAGAACCATGATGATTTGGTTTAAATTAATCATATTTCAGTGTGAGCACCGGCCGATGAGAAGAGGTTGTTAACTTGCTCTCCCCAGCTATCATCTCTGATGCACAGCCTCAGTTTCTACAGATGCTGAATGGCATTCGAGGTGCTTCACCACCTCTAGGCACAGCCCCATGCAAGTGTTCAGGGCCTTTTAGAAATGAAAATGTCGTCTTCTGCTCTTGAGATCCTCATTCCATCCAAAGGTCTCCAGCCTCACTGATCTCCAGCCGGCTTTTCCTCCTCCTCACCCTCGTGTCAGTGAAATGCAAACCTAGCAGTACAAGTTCAATTTCTGAGTCATCATACTGGAACAGGTCTGAATTAAAGCTTTCAGTTTCCCTCTTGTTAGTCTCTCTGTATTAGATCATCGTTTCAACGCACACAACTAAAAATTACTAAAATGGGTTAGCGTTTAGTCTCCAGCTGAAGTGCTCCTCTGCACAGAGCTCCCATTTCCTATCAGATGGAAACATAATTAATGCCGCTGTATCAATGTTTGTTTTTGTTTGCTTTTCCCCCAAGCAGAAATTATCTGATTTTTCAGCGATAAGAGTATAGCTTGCATGCAAATCTAAGCATCTCAGCTTATGTCCCATTACCCCCTCTTATAAGATAGTGGCCTATTGCTAACATGTAAAATCAGAACTATCCAGTGGCTTTAAACCAGAAATCTGCACTACACACTTATTTTTTTAATGTGTCTAAGTCAATTTCTGTACTACTTTAATGAAAATAAAGTTGATTTAATTTTGTGATCTGCGTAGCTATCAAAATCCATCTGTTCAGACCTATGAAATCTATCCAGAAGCTGAATTTCATCTTTCTTATGAAGTTTTCCATAAACATTAAAAGTTCAGAGATATATACAGTATTTCTCCTCCCCCCAAAAAAGGAACAAGCAAGGAAACCACAAAAATCAAAGGCAGTTTCACAGCAGCTGCTCCTCCCTCCCCATGCCTTTCTCCATTGCAAGAAGTCCCATACACTTAAACAGGTGCCAGGCTTTACTTTTTAAGCCGTCACACTAGCAGGATGCTTAAAGATCATTTCAGAGTCACCTGGGAATTCAGCATTTCACATCCTGTGTAAAAACCTTTTGAGAGGTATCTAGGGAAAGGTAACAGCAGCTTTGATGAATATAATCAAGCCTCAGACAGGGCAAAACACCATGCAGCTTGTGCACCTCTGGTGTAAGCACTGAAAAGCTACACTTGTTATCCCTCCACTACTCCTTTGGAAAAAAAAAAAAAAAAACCAAAACAAAAACAAAACCAACCAACCAACCAAAACCCATCCCATTTTTCTTTTTACTAATGAAAACATTAATAAGTGAACTATTCTACCATCTTAGCAACCAGAGATTAAAAAGAGTCCTAGATGCATTGTATTTAAATTATGTTTAAAGAGCCAACTTCTGGTGGGAGGGGGATGTAAGTAATGGAGTAAAACAAAGTGCAGTGTACAGAAAAATTTTGTTATTAAAATTGTCTATACTGTAAAACTGAATTTGCCTCTTTCTTCCTCCCTTTTCAAACAGAGGTGTCAAAAGCTCATTATTTCACAGTACGTAAAGACCAGTCTATATCCACCATGCAAAGCAAACACTTGGGGTTTGGGCCAGTCCATTTGCCATAATCGTATCAAATACAGCACCTTCTGTTTTACTACAATGCCTGAGCTGGTCTGCATGGGTTCTTCTCAAACAAGGTGTCTGCTGACTAGCGAAAGTTGTTTGTATAAGCAAGATGAGAGAGTGAAAACTAAACCAAAGCCAAACTCCTGGCCCTTGAAACTGAAGCCCAGTGAGTACCTGCATCAAACAGCACAGGCAGCAGCATCCTCCCCAGCGCGCTGGCGTGAGCCCCAGCACGACCCGGCAGAGGCTGCTGAGACCTGGCTCTAACCCTGGGCGTTCTGCTGGGGTTGCCTGGCAGACCACCATGGCCACCATTTGGTCATGGCACTTCCAACAGGGCCAGCTTGCCAAGAATTTAGCAAAGACTAAGAATCCATCTCATTTAGAGATGTCAAACTAGCAAGACATCACTTCGGCTCAGAATTACAGCCACCTAGAAAGTGTCAGAAATGCATTCCTGGTGTAAGAGGCGTTCTTTGTATGGGCTACCGTAATGAATGTAACTTTCAAAATCATGGTGCTTCAATAACACGGGAAAGATTTCTGATTTAGAGAAGTGACAAGTTCACGGACACAACCCAAAAGCCTTGATACAACAGCTAAGCAAAAGAACAAGTTTCAGGATGTCCCAAGATTATTACATGCACTGAACTGCCAGCTAAAATAATTTCAGTAAACTAAGCGTTAGCTGCATTTACGTTTTTGCAAAAGGTTTGGCTAGAACAAGTTCCCAAGGGCTTTAAATATCAGTTGGTTAACTGCCTCTCAAATCTTTCAAATACTTTGTTTAAGAAAACAGACTTATCACATGCTTTAAAGAGACTAATTTTAATACAAAAAAGCATGTCTCAAATGCAAAAGCAGTTGTTTTCACAAGTAAAGGTAAGATACATACGAGAAAAAATGGTATTCTGAATATACTATGAAAAACCTTTAAATCCAATTAGTAACAAGGAAATGTCAACATCACTAGCAACTTGCTTTTAAATGTAGGCTGTGTTAAGACAACTGCAAAAAAATTTGAGAATCTCGAGTCTGACCGTAGAGAACTGCACAAATGAGCTGAAAATTGTAGCACATCTGGTAAAGCACCAACTCCCTCCTCCAGTGAGTGTACAGGCTAAGGGACAGAATTCACTACAAGTGTTCATTCATCATAAAACCCTAATGTTAATATTTACTGTGATATGTTCTTAAGGAAGAATGTTTTATAACATCATCATTACCTAATCAACAATTTCATTACCATGAAGCTACTAGGAAAACAATTACACTGTAATGAATTAAAGCTCTGTCTGTCATATCTGACATCAGGAACCATGTGCTCTAGGATTTATTTTGGAAAAAATTCTTTATGATGAGGGTGGTGAAACACTGGCACAGGTTGCCCAGAGAGGTGGCGGATGCCCCATCCCTGGCAACATTCAAGGCCAGGTTGGACGGGGCTCTGAGGAACCTGACCGAGTTGAGTATGTCCCTGCTCATTGCAGGGGGGTTGGACTAGATGACCTTTAAAAGTCTCTTCCAACCCAAACCATTCTATGAAGCAAAGAAATTTCATGTTTATTTCTGTGATGCATAGCCAAAGAGGTTTGGCTACTAAGAGCATTCAGCAAACATTTCTGGGATGAGAGGTAACCAAAACATCGGTTTTAATCAACAAGAAATTTGACTTTTCTTTCTTTCTCAATCCGCTAAAAGGATGAACGCCTAAGACTTAAATATACACAAAAATCAATTGAGACCTTCTGAACTGGCAGCATAAGAAGCAGCAGCTAGGAGCCAAATAGTTACAAGAGGGGAAAAGGTCTTGAGTTTAATACAAGGTCTTCTCCCCAGTATGCAACACAAACACTTCCAATACACACATAAGCAAAACTATGGTGGTATTATCTACTATCAGGATATTTTAAGAAACTAATAAATCTTCCTTCAAAAAAACAAAGTATTTATTTCAAATACCGTTAAAGAAACTTACGCCTGTTTTCTCCCATCAGGCTCTACTACTTGTATGTTGAAATCTCCAACAAACTAGACACAGAGAAAGTGCCATTTTTCTTTTCCACCAATCCTTACCCCTAAAAAGTGTGCATCCACTGTTTGATACAGGTACATTATGCTTTACACCAGTTTAAAAAAAGCAGCCTTTTTTCATGAAAAATCTTGAAGTGGAAAAGGTTCATCCATCAAGAAGGTTCTTAAATAATGAATGGGTCATAATTCTTTACAGTCAAAAGCAATTAATTTTCTGTATTATAATCAGGAGAATAAATCTGAAAAATCCATTCTAATGGCTCTGAATCTGAAAGTAGTGTTGCAGTTGAATTTTTAATCTTAAAATAGAGGAGCAATGAGGACTTCTGCTGTTTAAACATACAATCTTCTACCAAACAAAACAGCTTTACTGCATATTTAATAGGTAGAACGGGTTTTGCGAGACCGCATGAGATTAGAGACAGCACTAGATACAGGAAATGCATTTCAAGTAGAAAGGTACTTCCAAGATACTTCTCAACTGTATAGCTACAAAAATTCTTGAAATATCCCTTTATGAAGTGTACAAAACACTGCAGAAAAGCTTACTGCAAAAAGTAGTTTTACTTACATGTTTGCACAGAGCCAAAAATATCAAGAGGAGTGGTAAAGCGGAATCCAGCTCAGCCCTACAGCAAGTATTCTTATTAGGATGCATTTGCTCTCTTCCATTTAACTAACTCCTAAATAATCCATCACACATCCAGAACCTCTGCCTCAAAAGCCATGTGGTGTTAGCTGGGACTATCAATTTCTGCCCTCAAATAGATTGCTTCAACCTTGATACCACCTTAAGTTTTTAATCTTTCAGAGAAGAAAAAACTGTAAAATTAATTGAGCTCTTAGTAAAGCTAATAATGACACAATCTGTTAGCAGTGAGAGCATGGGAAAGGGAACAGGGGCACAGACTACAAGTGAGCTTCCATCTCTAAAGGCACCACACAACAGTTACCAAGTGGAACACACATATGCATTCCCCTGCGCTGCAGACACTTTCAGAAGCTTTGTTAACAATACCTGCTTTGAGTAAGTCAAATTTTAGCTACCCAAGCCGACTCACCTGACCCAAAAGGTGCATACGAAGTGATAAATTTCATCCCCAGCCCAGGCAGGAACTTCGGCACACACCTATCAAAGGTTGTACGCCAGGACAAACTATTAAGTTGGGAAAACCACACAGCAGGACACTCTGCAAGCCCTCAGGTCTAACTGTACCTCATTTAAAGAGCAAGACATATTAAAGCATCATCTATGTTATCCCCAGGATAAGACAACATGCTTCAGTAAAGACTTGGAACTACTTATTGATCAAGTCTAGCCCTGAAGCATGCCATCCCCAAATGAACAGCAACATCTGTTGTACCAAGGTCTACAGAGATTTAGGATTAACTCCATGCTTGAAATTCTGGTTGAATAATTTAAGGATTAAGGAATTGCTCCTCAGCCGTTCCAGATAGTCCTGAAGATGGAAACAGATGTGCTGCTGCTTCCAGGTAGGACAGACACCTAGCTCAGCATCTAGGGGAGCAGCAGATCACTGCAAGGCAGACCCAGAGCATAGGCAGGCAACTTTGGTAACTCCTAGTGACAGCTGGAAGCTTTACAGGCATCAAGTGTATATTTTTAATGTTCAGGCCTTCAAGAATTTGAGCTCAGGGAGGAAGAAAAAGCCATCTCTAGTTTATATTCTTCTCTATGGACAACCAGTTTAGCTGTGAGACTTGCATCATGACAGCTGTGGAACTTGGAAATAAGAGATACCTTTTGCCTGCAATTAGCATCCAGTCCTAAAACACCAGAAACTTCAAAAAAGGTTAAGGTTAGACCTTTGATTAGGTTGTACTACAGAAAAAAAAAAAAAAATACAGTAAGCCCTGGCAGGTACTACATCTCAAACATGACACTACGCTCCTGAGCAAAAAAAAAAAAACAAAACAAAAAACACCTCAGATATCTTCATCAATTTACTATAGATTTCAGTGACAGTTAACTCTTAGGAGATGTCTGTACACTCTTTACTGAAACAGCAAAGTAGCATGCTCAATGTCCTGTCCCATGTGTAATGAGTTTTTGCCAAATATTACTCTCTGAGTGAAGAGTAAGTGTCTAGACCAGCTAAAATATGTCAGTCCTTTATATGAGGGACATCTGCTGCCCATACTTAAAATAATTAAACACCCACACAGTCCACTGCATAACATAATGCAACAATGAAATCAGGACTAAGGCATTTCAAGTATTTACAGACCACACATGCAACTGCAATATACCTTCAGTGCTGGGAACTGCCCAACACGTTACAATGCCTCTTCCCCTCCAAGTTTTTGATTTGTTAGCAGTATAGGTAATTATTGACAAATCTGAAACTTGGAGGAAACCACCACTTTGTTCCAAAACTGAGAAGTGTATATGAAATGAATTCAAAGCTCTTGCTCCCATGTTGCAGATGTACCCTGACCAGCAGGGACCAGGACAGCACAAGCCCACCAGACACACAGCGAGGTTCTTGCGCAAAAAGCACATGCACCAAAGCAGAAACATTACACAGAGACCTGGAAGGTGAGTGTGCTCAGCACCCTCCTCTCACACAGCTCAAGACTACTCCAGGACCTCCCCATGACTAACAGCTGTCTGACAGCATGCCGTAAAACACTGCGGACAAATGCAAGTACTGACAAAGTGGAGAACGACTCCAGTGTACCACGCAGATAAATTTCAGGGATATTACCCCTTCATATCTACAGCTGTCTATGGACAACAATTAACTTGACAAAGCATGCCAATGAGAGTGTCCAGAGACACATGAAAAAGTTTTATACTACATTCAAAT